TATATATATATATATATATATATATTTATATACTTTAATAGTTTTATTCACAACAGTGAACAACACATCATTATGGCCCATGTTATATCAGGATATCAGACAGAAAAAGGTTGCAAACTTCAGACTGATAAAAGTGTGTGTGTTTGTTCACCTGTCTCTGTAGGATCAGCTCTCCTTCCATCTCTTGTATTCTGCTCTGCAAATCCTGCTTCATCCTGTCATACTCCTCTGTTTGCTTTTGAATTTCACCAGCCATTGAGCTACCATCCAGCCACAAAAAGACACACACACACACACACAGTGCATACACAGTTACAGTGCCATATCACTGATTCAGTAAGAACACACACATTAACTTGACCTCACTCATCTGATCTCTGCCTTACAGCACCAACATCACTAGTTGTCACACCAATGGGGATTGCTGCAGAAAGATTCACAAAATATAAATGTATTTCTTGAGAATGACAATGTTGCCCAAATTTCTACAAAGGTTGAAACAAACACTGGTTTCTTAGAAAAGTAATTATGTTCAATGTGAACTTAGTAAGTAATCTATAAAACCATATGATGCATTCTAGTAGTCTAATGGTAGTAAGTGAAGGGATGCATCATGTGATCTTCACCAAGGATCTGACCTGTGAAGGGCAAAGGCCCAGAAAGCAGGAAAAATACCACGCCCTGGCCCTCATATATGAAGTTGCTTTTTGTTTGGTGGAACTTGCAAGAAGCTATCATTCTACCCCTCTAACACCACACATGTGGCTCAACATTAAGCTCTCAAGATTGTGGAGGCTAAGTTTGACCCCTCTTGTGAGGCATGTTCAGATTAGAAGTTTTTGACCATTTTAATGAACAGATGCCTCAATCAAATGTGCTTTGGAGTGAAAATAGAAAGAAAAAATGTTTTAATCCAATATTAATTATTTACCCAACGGGTTGAATACAATGACGGGTTGAATACAATGACCTTGCATAGAAATATAAGTGCTTTGTGTGTTTTTATTTTCATATTATAAACTCATAGCCATAAACTGCATAAAATAATGGACATAGCTACTGAGACGTCATCCACTGAGAGAGAGAGAGAGATAGTCACTTAGCTCCAGTCAGTACATTTACATGCACAGTTAAATGGAGCTACCAGACTAGGCCATCTAATTGGACTACTGTCCTTGTTCAATTATACAAGCACGGGAGGGGAATCCATTTATTCACCGAAGTATGTCCAACTCCACTACCATAGGTGGTGATATGCTCCCTTTCAGCATGTTAGGTTAGGTTGACCTATTATATCATAGACCAAACAATGGAGTGTCATCCTGCTGTTCCACCACTTTTTTGAACAGGTTGCCATTCTGTGTTTTCCTCCCATAGATTTTATTTTAAAATATTTAACTCTTTCAACTGACACAACATGAACTGTGTCTCCTCACCCATCCACAAATGCACAGCTCTGGATGTAGATTTTGCCCTGTCGTTATAGGTTCTTCTGTTACACATATAATGCTATTCGACTCCCAGGTCAAAGCCTGGAGTGGAAACTGTGAAGCATGTGCAGAGCGCCTAGGCCAGTTTGGGTCTGATCAATCTGGAAATCCATCGGTAAAAAAAAAAAAAAAAAATTCTTCCTTTAAATTGCAGAATCTGTCTTGAGAGATTTGGGTCTGATTGACAGTATACATGCAGGAGTAATTCAACTCCCAATCACATTATCTAGGTGTGTTATTTTGAGAAATTCAATTTAGTATGATTTCAGTCAGACTATCATGTTTACATGTATTTTAAAAGTCTCATTTTAGTCGGACTAACCCAATAAATCCGTTTTCTCTAATGTCATAAAAATGTACTATCAGAGCCTACCAGGTGGATCAGTAACATCGTGATGATCAGACAGCGAGAGAAACTGAGGATCTGCATTGAGCCCATCACTCAGCCATAGACAGACCATACTGTCATCTGCAAGAAAGCTAAAAGGCACAAACATCTTCATAAATGAGGACTTTTCAGAGGCTGTCCAGAAAAATAGGAGAGAACTCCTCCCAGAGCTGAAAGCTGCCTGTGGCAGGGGAGAAATAGCCAGTTTAAGGTATGACAAGCTGGTTATCAAGTCCAGGAGTGCACCAGAAAGCCGATAATCAATTTGATTTGATACTTTTTTGTTTGTTCGTTTTTGTCTGACTAGCTGAAATCACAGTTACTCAACACAAAACAGTGGATAGGAGTAATATAGATCCAGATCCAGAACCTGTGGACTGCATCTCAACTGACTGTTACACTTCTGATTTAGTAGACCAGATTTTCAAGCCTTTTGACTCTTCTACTTTTGATGCTTATAATGTTGATGTTGACCCAGACCAAAATTTATTTTCCTCATCTGATGTCTCTAAACTGTGTAGTTATAATGAAACCCAGTTTAATAACTTATGTGCTTCTATGCCTGCAAATACTTTTTCTACTTTTCATCTGAATATCAGAAGTCTTTCGAGTAACTATAACAAATTCCTTCATTATTTATCTTTACTCAGACATGACTTTTCTGTTATTGCTTTATCTGAATCATGGCTTACAGAAGACTCTAAAGAAATTTTTAAATTACCTAATTACAACTCAGTTCATCATGTAAGAGAAAATAGATCTGGAGGTGGAGTATCTCTGTTTATTCATGCTGATTATGACTTCAAAACAAGGGATGACCTTTCTTTGAAAACAGATAGGGCTGATGTGGAATCTCTTTTTGTGGAGCTCTCTGGTGTCTCTGGTGGAAAGAATGTTATTGTTGGGGTTATTTATCGCCTACCTGATTCAGTCATCAAAGACTTAATGAAAGTTTGTTCTGTTCACTTGACCTTATCAGCAGAGAGAAAAAGCTTTGTTACATTTTAGGAGATTTTAATTTAAATCTCCTTAAACATAATTCAGATACCCTTATTGCGGACTTTCTAAATGTTCTCTATACTAGTTATTTCTTCCTTCTTATTCATAAATCAACACGAGTTAATAAAAAATCTGCAACTTTAATTAACATTTTATCCAACTCCTTGACTGAAGGAATGAAATCTGGTATTCTATATTCAGACTTGTCAGATCATTTTCCGATATTCCAACTCTCTGTGAACAAGGTTAGTAGAGCTGAAAATTCTAAGGTAATAACACCTAAAAGAAATATAAGTAAGAAAAACATTGATAAGTTTAAAGACATGCTTGGCAATATTTCCTGGGATGATGTATATGAAGAGAATAATGCTGATTTAGCATATCAAAAATTTATGAAAGTTATGAGCTCTTGTTTCAATGAATGTTTTCCCATAGGAAGACCTACCAAGAAATGTCACCAAGACTTCAATCAGCCATGGTTCACAGCTGATTTGTTGAAGTTGCTAAGGAAAAAGAACAAACTGTATACGAGATATGTCTTAAATCCTACTCCTCTTTCTCATGGTGCTTATAAACCCTAAAGAAATAAATATATTAATTATATTAGATCTGCAAAAAAGAAATATTTTAGTGATGAATTAAACAGGTGTTCAAACAATATTAAATCCACATGGAAAGTATTAAACCAGCTGCTTCAAAGAGAAACTACCTCAGAATTACCTTCTGTTTTTCTGAATGGGGAAGATTCTTTAAGTAACCCATTTGATATAGCTGAACAGTTTAATGATTTCTTTGTTAATATTGGTAAGAAATTAGCAAATAAAATTCCTACTTGTCATGTAAACCCATTGGATTGTATTCAAGGGACATTTCCTGTTATGTCTTCTTTCAAGCTCCCCGATATCCAGGAAATAAGTGATTGATCAATTGAAAACATCTGCAGCTGGCCATGACAATATTCCAGTATCTCTTGTCAAGCAGGTGAAACAATTAATCTTGCAACCACTTTCTTCATCTTTTCCCTGTCTTTAAAAACAGGAGCTGTGCCAGAGGATTTAAAAATTGCTTAAGTTATTCCCTTGTTTAAAATTATCTACAACAGGATTTCAATACAATTCTGTACAATCATCAGTATGGTTTTCGAAAAAATTATTCCACTTATATGGCTCTGCTTCACCTGATTGACAAGGTTACATCTGCTCTCGAAAACAATGATTTGTCTGTAGTATTTTCTTCTTCGACTTCTCTAAAACATTTGATACTGTAAATCACAATATCTTATTGGCTAAGTTATATAAATATGGTTTTCAGGATGTTACTCATAAATGGTTGACAAATTATGTTTCTAACAGAGCTCAGTTTGTTTAAGGAATGCTATTTTTAATAATAATGATAATAATAATAATAATAATAATAATAATACATTTTATTTATATAGCGATTTTACAGCTCTCAAAGACGCTTTATATTTAAAACAAAGAAAAGAAGTACATACAAAAAAGGGGGGGGGGGTACATGAGAAACAGAGAACGAAAAGCTAATGTTTAAAGGTTAAAAGTGGATTTGAAAAGGTGGGTTTTGAGGAGTGATTTGAAGGTGGATGGATCTGGACAGTCACGGATGTGTATAGGGAGGGTGTTCCAGAGGGAGGGGGCGGCGATGGAGAAGGCCCTGTCGCCCCAGGTTCGGTGCTTGGTCCTGTGTGGAGGTGAGAGGAGGTTTTTGTCAGATGATCGAAGGCTGCAGGAGGGAGTGTGGTGGTGGAGCATGTCCGTGAGGTAGGAGGGGGCCTGGCAGTGGAGGGCTTTGTGGGTGAGGAGAAGGATCTTAAATTTGATTATGTACGGGACAGGGAGCCAGTGTAAGTTTTGCAGGACAGGGGTTATATGTTCACGGGAGCAGGTGTGGGTGAGGAGGCGGGCAGCAGAGTTCTGGATGTACTGGAGTTTGTTGAGGACTTTGGATGATGAGCCGTAGAGGATGCTGTTGCAGTAGTCGAGTCTTGAGGTGATGAAAACATGGATGAGAGTTTCAGCGCCAGAGAAGAAGAGTAATGGACGGAGATGGGCAATATTTCTGAGGTGAAAGAAGGCAGTTTGGGTGAGGCGGCTGATGTGATGTTCAAATTTGAGGTTATTGTCGAAGTTGATACCAAGGTTGTGGATGAATGGGGAGGGAGAGAGGGTGGTGTTGTCGACGCTGACGGTGAAGTTTTGTGTTGATGTAGAGAGGGATTTTGGGCCGATGACTATTATTTCAGATTTGTCACAGTTCAGTTTGAGGAAGTTGGTTTGCAGCCATGATTGGAGTTCAGTCAGACAGTTGGTGAGGGTCGAGCAGGTGGCCAGGGTGATGGATTTTTTTTTTTTACAGAGCTAAACTA